CTTCGTGCATTTTTCTCTTTATACATGAGTAACCAGATTTGCTGAAGCAGCCATATAAAGAATCTTGATAATAGAGTAAGTAACAGAATGATGTTCCAAAATGCGTTGTGGAAATACAGCTTTTAGTATGTTGACTTAGAATAACGCTGGATAACAAACCCTTGTAAAATTTGAAGTTTATTTTATTCTGGGATTAAGATGATGATTGAAATCCTGTCCTGTTTGGATGCAAAGTTAATTGTGGATCATGTGAATTCTCTCCCTGTTGTACCTGCTAAATGAATTCATTCACTGTGAAGTAGATTTGTTTCTGTTCAACAGTCCTACGTTTGGACAGGACACACTTTTTCTCAACCTGTTTAGTACCCACCTTATTGCTAACTACATCTACCAGCCTGCAGCTAATGCCTTGAGAACATGGTCGGATTTGATGTGCGGTAGCCCTAACTTCATAATGCACAAATGTATTTATCTTCCTAATTCTTGAGGAAGGCTGGGCAAGTATGGGGTGCAGAAGTAGAATTTCCCACAGACTTTTTTTTTCCTCCTTTATAAAAAAAAAAAAAGACATATTGACCATAGATAATTTGATAGTTTAGTGGATCTTTTCTGTAGCAAGGTATAATTCAAAGAAATGCTCAACATTTGATGACTTTTATGTGGTTAACTAGTGTCCTTTAACTGTTCCATTCTAGTACATTTTAACTGGTACATGCCTTGCAGTTTTTTCCTTTCCATAGCGAAGTTTTTGCATATAACACCACGTGTACCTTAATACGCTGCTGTTGCTGCCATCATAGTGGTATTTTTGAAACCTCTTAACAGTGCTATATCTTCTCAAGAGTGGGATTAGCAGTGAAAAGTAAGAGTGTTAGGAGAAGTTCAAGTTACCTCAGTTTTGTCTATTGTAGCAATAAACAAACAATGTGTTAGGGTATTGTAAAACCTGCAGTGTAACAGCAGCGCTGATCGAGTGCTGCGAGTTATCCACCTTTCTGGTGAACTTGGGTTTTGGTTCTGGCGGGGGGCGGGGGCGGTGTTTGAGAGAGTTGGGGTTTTGTGCAGCCAGCAGCACTGGAGTGTCTGTCACTGGTGAGATGTAGCTTTGAGATGGTTCCCTGACACATTGTCCACATATTTGTTTCTAGAAGAGAATGTGTGACTATGTGCTTGCTTTATAACAAGCCTTAATGATCAAGTTATTTACAGGCACTCTAATTGCTGATAAATTGTTCTCAAGTAGATGTAAAAGGGCAAAAATTCTGACTTGGAGTATCAAATACTTTTGTCAATTCAGGAATGTGGTGTTTGGTGGTTGGTGTTTTTTTTTTTTTAGTGTTTCCTTCAAAGATTTTTAATTTGAAATGCCTGAACCTCCTGAAGTGCTGCCCTATTAGTTAATGTGATATGCTTGCGTATTGTAAAATTTGCAGTTATTTCACTGAACTGACAAGGGATTGGGGCTGCTTTCTGCGTTCGTGTTTTGTTTTGCCTCTCTTAATTTTGATGACTCATCTCCTGTCTCCTTTTGTAGTTCCTGATGATTCTAGCTGTTGATCCTTGTAGCCTGTGTGATAACTCACGCTTTCTTTGTCTTACTGTTTTAAAGACTATGTAATATGACATACATAAGATTATTATTGTTTTGTTCAAATTGCGAGCTGCTATTGCCTGTAGACTACAAACACCATGGAATTGAACTGTCCTTTGTGTTTATGTATCCCTTCCTTGTGCACTTAAATTATTCTTGCTGGCAAGGCTTGACTCTGAACAAGGAATGCTTTTGCTTCTCGCTAATGATTCACCTACAGTGGCAGGGAGGAACTAAATTTCAGTGACTTCATTATCACTATGAAATCTGTTTGAACTCAGCTTTTCAAATGTATTATCTCACTAGCTTGCCTGTTAGTCATCCAAAATTATTTCCAGCTGAAGTTAGTAACTTGGTATTTCAATACGTACAATAAATGTTCTTGTTCCCACAGTGTTTTTGTGAAACTACAGAAGCCAAATGCTGCCATTAGAGATTGTGACAGAGCCATCAAGATTAATCCTGACTCGGCACAGACCTACAAATGGAGGGGGAAGGCGCATAGGTAATGAACTGCACCTGTACTTGATACTATCTTTACTTACTTGGGGGGAACAGTTTTGTTTATGCATTCTCTCCTTCCCTGTGTCTCTGAACTGCTGTCTTGTACCTGAGAGCAGTAGCCATCAGCCAAGAAACCGTTGTGCTGAGTGTATGGCTTACAGGAAAGAAAGGACAATGGTGATTTATTGATGGCAATTTATGAGTAGTCCTTCTGGCACTGTCTTTTTTTTCTCCTCTGCCCACGCCCCCCCCCTCTTTTTTTTTTTCTTTTAAAACCATATCTTCTAATGGCTTAATGCTATTCAGAATAGCAGTTTCTAATCATTAAGATTATGAGTTCCAGGACTGCTGGTTTTATTTGTTTGGAGGTCCTTTGTTTTCACTTAGTTCAGTTTTTATTTGGTAACCTATAATTCTTAAACATTTCTCTGCTGCTCTTATTCCATTAGAACCTAGAGCTCTTACATAGTAAATTAAACTGCCTAGTTATTAAGGGAACCATTTGTTACAGTTGTAGAGTGGTATTAGGCAAACTGTAATTATTTAAAATGGCATTAGGCCAGTGTGCATCTTCCCCCTCCAACTATAGTTAAAGTTTTTCTTTTAAAATGACAATAAATCAGCCAAAAAAAAAATCCCAAGGTGACACTTCTGTGTAAAAGTGGAAGGAGTAAACGCTAATAGAACTTACCAAAAAAAAAGGCATTTTACACAGTGTTCAGAGTAGTATGTTAATGTCTGCAGTGTTAGTAAATGGCATGGAGCCTACGAGTGAGAAGACTGGAGCATACTTTGGATTAACACCTCTGTCTGTAAGCAGAAGTGCTTTGACCATTTAGGAATACCACCATTTGCTTCAACTTGTGATTATCAAGAGTTGGATAAATGAAGAGTTAAGAAGTGCACACAGTAGCTTGTATGACCTCTTCAACTAACACGTGGTGCATCCAGTTAGCTAGGATGTTTGAGTGCCGGGTAAAGAGGATCCACTTCAGCTTAAGGTAGTAGTGGCATAGACTTATACAGAGCACTGAATGTGTGCCTGGTGGTGCAGAGTATTTTTATTGGTGTGCTTCACGTGTTTAGGTAGGGTACCTTCTCCCTGTTAGACCCTTCTTGTGCATAGCAAACAAGTGACACTACCTGATTCAGGGTTTTTTTTTCTCATTGTTACTTCAAGCAAAAGTTATTGTAAGGGTATGAAGCAAGTAGGTATCCTCTAATGGCATTGTAGTGTGCAGATTGTGGAAAACGCCATGATTTTAAACTTTAAACTTCCGTAAGTCCATACAGCTGCAGGTAAAAACACTGAATGCTGCATCGTTGTACATTTTTTGAGGAACTGTGAGAGTTCTGTTTGCTTTTTCCTTCTGAATGTTGGTGTCTTCTGAATTCCAGACTTCTGGGTCACTGGGAGGAGGCTGCTCATGATCTCGCATTAGCTTGTAAACTGGATTATGATGAAGATGCCAGTGCCATGCTGAAGGAGGTGCAACCAAGAGTAAGTGGGGAGGCATAATGGAGGCCCTTCTATTTGTTTGAGTGACATTGCTGCCTTCACTTTCTTCTAATATGCATTGTCTTGTGGGAATGTGTTCGTGTGTCATCTGACACGTCAAACTGAGTTTATAAATACTTCTGTCTTCAGTCACAGCTATTTGTGGCTGTGTGTAGAGAAGTTGAGTCTCTGGGGCTGGGCCTGTAACCGAACTGTGAAATAATGTGTTCCTTTTTAAGATCTTAACAGAAGAATCTGAAGCAGTTGACATTTGCCAGGCATTTTAGAATCTAGACTGAAAACATTCAGAAGAGCAAGAGAATACTGATAATTTTTTTCGATATGTTTGTTTGATCAAAGCTTCATCCTAAACACGAAGAAAGGAAGCGTTCTGTGATGTGATTTGTACTTTCATTAGTCTACCCCGTGAGGGCAGCGCAATCTCTGTGAGATGGGTTTTCAGCTTTTCTCAGGTGGTTGACCCCAGCATCCTTCTTCTAAGGAAGAACTTCTGTGTAGCAAATGTAAGACCATTGATAGCAGGCTTTCTTCTTCATCTGTTTTGCATATTCCTTTAAAGTGGTTGCCACACCACAGATTGCAGCTCTTGCATTGCATTGGGTTTGCATGGCAAGGTTGCGGGGAGGTGGAGACTGCAGGGCTGGCCTCTTGTAGGAGGAGATGTGGGGCTGCCCCTGTGTCAGACGGAGGCAGTTCCAGCTGGCTCCAAACCAGACTCACCGCTGGCCAAAGCTGAGCTGGTCAGCGATGCCAGCGGTGCTTCTGTGATAACATACTTAAAGGGTTAAAGAAATGCAGTGCAACTGCTGTGAGAGAGAGGGGAGTAAAGAAAAAAAAATTATGAGAGAAGCAACCCTGCGGACAGCAAGATCGGTGAAGAAGGAAGGGGAGGAGAGATTCCTCCGCAGCCTATGGAGAAGACCATGGTTAAGCAGGTTGTCCCCCTTGAGCCCATGGAGGTCCGCAGAGGAACAGATATCCACCCTGCAGCCCAGGGAGGACCCCGTGCCAGAGCAAGTGGATGTGCCCTGAAGGGAGCTGCAGCCCACGGAGAGTTGACACTGGAGCAGGCTCCTGGCAGAAACCGTGGCCTGTGGAGAGGAGCCCATGCTGAAGCTGGTTTTGAGGCAGGAGGTGCAGCCTATGGGCAACCCATGCCGGAACAGTCTGTTCCTTAAGGACCATACCCTGTGGGGAGGACCCACGCTGGAGCAGGAGAAAGGTGTGAGGAGGAGGAAGTGTTGGGGGTGCGATGTTACAAACTGACCACAGCTGCTGTCCCCCTGTGCTGTTTGGGGTGGGTCAGGAGGTGGAAGAGTCGGGAACAAAGGAGTGAAATTGAGTTTTGGGAAGAAGGGGAATAGGAAGAAGGTGGGTTTAGTTTTGGTTTTGTTTCTCATCATCCTACTCTATTTTTAATTGACAACAAATTAAATTAATCCTCCCCACGTTGAGTCTGTTTTGCCCATGATGGTAATGGATGAGTAATCTCCCTGTCTTTACTTCAAGCCAGGAGTTTCTCCATCTTTCTTTCTCTCCCTGTCCTGTTGAGGAGGTGACGACCAGCCAAGCTTAACTCAACACATGCGTAAACATTCCTGTGTCTAATAACTTCAGCTTTCAGTTTTCCTACCATGTCTTTGTAGAAGACAGTGTCTCCGGCAAAAGAATGGAATCCATCTTACAACCTATTAGTCTTCTGTGTTGGAGACTATTGATCTGTGGTAAATGTAATTAGGTCTTAGGTCTCAACCTTTTTTTATAAGAGGTATACTTAATGCTTGGCTGAGGGAGAACCTTTTATTTCCCAGTTAATCTGCCCATGCACAGAAACAGCAGAGTGCGATACATTGATGCGTAGTTGCCAGCTGTATGGGAATTTGTGTCTATAGCTCAAGAAAAAAATGTAGGATCTTTTATTAAAGATAAAAAAATCACCCATGAAGTGAAGATGATACGTTTACTTAATCTATTCACTTCCAGCTTTTCTGACACTTTTTAGTTTCTAGCACTTCAAGCTGAAAGTCTGAGTCAAATTCTAAAAATGCTTTGTTTGTTTTGAGAAATACTTAGAAACAATGAAAATCAAAACTTTGGAACTCTTTCATTAAAAAACCAAACCAAAACACTTACCTCTCTCTTAATGAACTATTGAATGGACACAACATCAGGTTCTGATAACACGTCCTGCATTCAGTATCAGTCAGTCTTGCTGCCTGCAGTGTCCTTTCTCTGGCAGATGTGCTTCAAGAATGATGTGGTATGGAATGAATATCTCCTAGCTAAAATAAGTTGTATCGAAACTTCACTACTTGTAAAATCATTTCTTCGTTTAAAGAGTATTCTGAAAGAATGGAAGAGTATCTTGTATTAGTAGTAGTTAGTATCTTGTATTAGTAGTAGTTAGTATCTTGTATTAGTAGTAGTTAGTATCTTGATTTTGTTATGTTTTTTAGTTACAGGAGTGTTACAGGGTAACCATCATACACAGTTTGTGAAATCATGAACCATTTTTTGCAGTGCTGTCTAAGGACACATTCTGGTTTCAGGAAAGCAGTGCTGCAGCTGGTGTAGCCCTGAGTGAGGAGCCTTGGGGAACTCATTGCTAATTCCTCTCTTCTGCTGGGGCTGTAGATTTGATAGACTTGAGAAAAAGCTAATAATAGGAAGCAGACTTTCTCCCTACCAACCCTTTCTTGATTTGGTTCAGGAATCTTTGGTCTGCTTATGTCTAGTTGTGTATGCTGCAAAGGCATCTGGGACAGCAACAACAACAAAATGTGTGTGTGAAGGGGCAATTATGCTTCCTGTTGTTGTCCCGGTGAAAATTCACTTTTCTGGAGCAGTTGCTGGTTTTAGCCCTGGAGAAAACAGTACTTCAGCATAAAAGCTTGAAGGGATGTGGAATGATATGTTTTAAATTCTAACTACCATGCAAGCCTCGGAGCTCTATAGCAAAAAAGTACACTAGAGTGCACGTTCTGGTGAATCCAGTTAGGGCCGAGTAGACACGAATAACTGATTGCCATAGAGAGGAAGTAGCAAATGGCTCCTAAAACAAAGGGGCTTTTAGGATGTGAAGTCAGGTATTATTTTTAAGAACTGGTAAAAGCAGATGATTACACTTATATATATTTCGTATTGAAGTGCATTGTGTGATGTGCTAGAAATGTATATGAAATCTTGGTATTCTGTTGTAACAGGCTCAGAAAATTGCAGAACATCGCCGAAAATATGAGCGGAAGCGTGAAGAAAAGGAAATCAAGGAGAGAATGGAAAGAGTAAAGAAGGCACGGGAGGAGCATGAGAGAGCACAAAGGGTGAGTACTTAGGCTTTAATATTTTTTAGTAATTTGGAGAGTGTCATAGTTATTTTGGTTAAAATGAATTGCAGAGAAGAATTACTTTCTTTTTAAGTCTTAGAATTAAATTTTAGGGAGTTGATTTCCATCTTGGTTACTTGACCAATAATGAAATCTGGAGAAGAGGCCGTTGTACTGCATCTGCTTTTATTGTTTATGACAAAACCAGGCTCTGGAATCTCTACTAATCCTGTATTTCAAGGAGTCAGCTATTGTGTGACTGTACCAGAATAGTTTTCACTTAAAGTACTTACGTCTCCTGAAGTGGGAGGTTTTAAATTCAGGATAATACTTTGCTTCTCTTCCTCACTTCCTGATACAGTTTACTTGCTTTTTCTTCATGCTTTACTGATTATATTTTAATATGTTGTGGGTGGGAGTTCTAAAAATGTATGGTGAGGAGCTAGAACAAATCATACAGTTCATATTCAGTAAAAACATACTCTGCATAACTTACAAAAACATACTAAAATAAGAGTAGACATCGTTATTTCTTGTCAGTCATTTTGTACGTAGTGAAGTGCTTTGTTTACCACGATAGCCTACCTGCCTGAAACACTCAGCTATTTTTTTATCTCCTAAAACCAGTTGAGCAGTAGAAAACAGGCTGCAGTTCCATTGCTTTGTATGGAATGATGTGCTTTCATCTGCAGGAGGAAGAAGCAAGACGACAGGCAGGAGGAGCTCAGTTTGGTGGTTTCCCAGGTGGCTTCCCAGGTATTTTATTTTTAAGCACCAATATTGGAGGTAGAGGTGACTGTTGTTTCCATGTCGGGTATTATAACCACAGTTTTTGTAGCGTTTGCTCTCGGGACAGAGAGAAAAATATTTTATTGAAGTTAATAACTTGTCTGCAACTAACTTGTCTGCAAATAACTCTTTGAGCCCTAGTGGGAAGAGGGATGGGTTTCTTTCTCTTAGAGGGGATTGATGCTGGGTAGCAAGTAGAGGGAGGACAGGAATGAATAATGATGGATAACAGAATAAAAGGATTTAGGTCTGAGAAAACAAAGGTGTAGTATTTGCCTAATAATGCGGGCTGAAAAACTGGTATAAACATGTTTTCTAAATTACCCAGCGTTCCTCGGAGCTGTCCTGCTTAAGGACAATAGTTATAAAGTTAAAAATTTGGATTGAATATTAGGGAAAACTGTGCTGGTTGCAAGCTATTGTTGAACAGAATAGTTTCTCAAAGGAGGTAGTGCAGTTTGCCTTATAGAAAAGCTATCCTTGAACAGTTCCACAAAAATTGGGCTTTCCGTGTTATTTTTGGGTACAAGAAATAGGGGAGAAACATGAGTAAGTACCAGTGCTCTTGAAGATTGAGATGTAGTTGAGGTAGGCTGTGTGCATGCTCCAACTGGATCAGTTTGTCAGGGAGACCAAATGGAGACCATACCTACCCTGCTCAGCACAGCTGGGGTAGCTGCTGATTAAGGATTCAGAAACAGAACCTCAAGCATTTTGCTTCAAGGATTTTAATTTTTTTTGTTTCTTCTTTGGTGGTACATTTTCTTCAAACCTAAAGTTCCTGACAAATGTGGAGTGTACATGGGACATACTACTACTGATCTGCTTTTGCCCTGAATTTTTCACCCCAGGCATTCAAACTCCTTATGTTCCTGGGCTTGAGACCTACCTGATTTAAGTTAACCAGAAAAATAACTGCATCTGCGTACAAGGTGCTAGAACCTGACCCTCATTACAAGCCTCCTGTTCAATTGGATTAAAAACATGGATGAAATAAGATGTAGGTCTTCACAGAAAGTGAAGGCCCTGCATTCCATTCAGTGGACCAGCCGTAGCCATACGGACGACATGGCTTTAGAGGTGTGGCAAAGGAAGTATGTCTTGGTCTCTCTCAGTGAGCCTCCTGTATAGATGAATTAGATGTTTTTCATTGTGCATTCTTGTTTTGGGTTTTCAGGTGGATTTCCTGGGGCTGCGCCCGGAGGTATGCCAGGAATGGCAGGTATGCCAGGTCTGAATGAGATTCTCAGTGACCCAGAAGTCCTTGCAGCCATGCAGGTGAGTATTTGTTACAATCAAAGCTAAATTTTCTGAACAGGGAAGACCACCACCTGTGAGCTTAAGGGAAGGAAGAAAGATGTGACCTTCTAGATAGTAACGGGATGCTTGGTTATTTGTGTTGTGAAATTCTCTCATTGTGTTTGTGGCATCAGACTGTCTGGAATCAATGTTAGCTATTTTTCAAACTGATGGGAGCTTAATTAAAGATGCCCCCTCCTCTCTTCTCCCGCACCCCTGCTTGCCTATGATAGGCAAAATTATGTGCTATATAGAGTTCTTCATCTCTTTAGAGTCTCTTGAAAGGTTATTTTCCACATCGTATAACTAACTTGCTCCTTTTTTGAATGCATGCACATTGTGGTGAGA